GTTGGAAGAACACCTGGGAGTCCTTGGAATTGTGCCAAGGGAGAGGATGACTCCAGCATCATGGACCAACCCTGGCACTTCCCCCAGATCCCAGGATTTCCACATGAGAAATTCCCAGTAATTTAAAATTCCCAGTAAAATAAAAAAAGCAGCCAGGGAGGAGGTGTGGAAGGGCGGTGCTGGAATCCATGTGGGCACATTTTGGGACAATCTGGAGGGATGGAGAATTCCTCAACCCAGCAGAGACATCTGGGTGTGTGCCTGGTCCCCAGGAGAGGGGCCGACTAAAAATAGGGTGTTTGACGGAGTTGGAAATATAAATTTTTAGGGCGATTTTAATTTTCCAAGAAGCAGCAATTAAAAGAGTTTGGAGATTATGGAATTGCTCATTTTATGATCCGAGGATTGTAAAAACCCCTCAGCCACTGCTGGAACCCGTTATGGAGATGGGAAACACTTCCTAGGAGCGAGAACAGCCCCGTTTCTTTGGGATTTTCCGTCTGTCATCTCCAAATCTGGGTTGTTCCATTTGATTCCCACTACGTCTGAGGTAGAGGGAAAATGGAAAAATTACATATTTATCAAATGATATATTCTTATATGGATTTATCAGCTCAAAAAGAGCAGAGTGGGGCATGTAGAAGTTAAAAAAACCCCATTGCATTGTTAAATCTTGGATTATGGATGCATTCTGGGAGACAAAAAATGAATTTTCTTTTCTGAAAAAAGGAAATTTACAGGTTCCCAGAAATATTTGTTTGGTTTTTTTTTTCCCTCTCCAGGGTTGGTTTTTTTGCTTCTTTTTAACCCAGAAGTGTCTCCTAAACTGACACATAATGAGATGTGTCCCACTGAGCCTTTCTAGGCAGTTCCTTTAGGCTGTGCCTTAGTCCATGTTTAAAAGGGGGTGAGAGAACCTCACCATCCCAACACGTGCCCAACAACACATCCCAAATCCACCCCCAGCCCTTCCCTGGAGTCACTCGTGCCATCCAAGCACTCAAATCCATGGAAAGATGCTCCAAAACACCTCCAAGCACCTTGGGAAATGCCTTCCTGCTGGGAACACCAGAGGATGTCCTCTGTGACCACTTAACACCCTGCATCCCCCCCAGGATTTGCCCAGCTGGACACTCCATGGTCTCAGCAGGATAAAGCCATGGAAAACAGCTCGGATTTTCCCCAGGTTTCTCCCACCACAAGCAACCTAAAAGGATTTTTACAACGTGGCTTCTCTGCTCTTTTCACCTCTTTCACACCAAAAATGCTGCTGATTATAGGGATATCCATGTGAGGAAAACATGGAAGACCTGGATCTTGGTGTCTGTTTAATTCACTGCTTTTCCTCAGTCCTACAACAGATTCCTTTTGGAAGATCATAAAATTAATAAAAATTAATAAACCGCATTTTCTGTGCTTTGAACACACCAAAAAACCCCAAAGATTTAAGGAAGGGGGAGATTTAAAGAGCAGGTGAGGGCTACCATCACAACCTTATCTTTCTGCCAAGTATCACAGAATCCCAAAATCCCACAATCCCAGACTGGTTTGGGTGGGAAGGGACCTTCAAGAGCATCTTCACCCCACCCCATCCATGGCAGGGACAGCTCCCACTGTCCCAGGTGGATCCAACCCCAGTGTCCAGCCTGGCCTTGGGCACTGCCAGGGATCCAGGGGCAGCCACAGCAAATCTGGGAATTCCAGCCCAGCCAGGAATTCCTTGCCAAGATCCCAGCCCAAGCTCCCCTTTCCCAGTGGGAGCCATTCCCTGGCTCCTGTCCCTCTGTCCCTTGTCCCCAGTCCCTCTCCAGCTCTCCTGGAGCCCCTCCAGGGACTCTGAGCATTCCCTGGAATTTTCCCTTCTCCAGGGGAACATTCCCAGCTCTCCCAGCCTGGCTCCAGAGCAGAGGGGCTCCAGCCCTGGAGCAGCTCTGGGGCCTCCTCTGGGCTCTCTCCAGCAGCGCCACGTCCTCGTGAATTTGGGATCCAGGAACAGGAGCAGCTCTGCAGGTGGGCTCTCACCTGAGAATCCCCCTTGACCACCTGGACTTGCACCTCCCTGGTCCAGCAGCCACTCCCCTTTTTAAGCCTTTTATGGGACAGAAAATCGGTGATCCCAAAAATCAGGATAATTAATTTAGCAGTGTTTTGTTTTCAGTCTAAACCCCCACATTTTTCACCTCTCCCGATGTCAATTGTGTTTATAAACAGCTTTCCTTCTAATGTGTATTGGATCTGCTTCTAACACAGAGAAAATTATCTTCACCACCTTCAAACCATGCTTAATATGCAATAAAAAAAATTTCCTTAATTCATCTCACCTCTCTTTTAACCAGATTATTTTTTCAGCATTCACAACCAAAACCTTAATAGATTCCAGCATCAGAACTCTGCAGCCCCATTCCCTCATCATGGCACTCACTGGAAGCGCTCCAAACAGACAGAAAATCCTATTTCAATGTGTAAGTGCAAGATAAAACTGCTGGATTGGGCAGGGTTTGGGAATTTGGAGGGAGGAAGAGGACAGAGGCAGAGGCGTGAACTGGTACTGTGAGGATGTTGAGATTCACACCTGTGCTTTCAGGTACAAAAAAGATTAAAAAATCACCAAAAAACCCAAGAATAAACTGCAACCTTGCAAACTGAAGCTTATTTTCTGAATACACCCCTTCCCTCTTGGAACTGCCTCATCCCAAAATTCAAACCTTGATGGATTTCTGCTCCAAAATAACCAAATTAAAGTGATTTCCAGGCGCAGCAGAGCCACCAGACGGACCCGTGGGGATGAGGGGCAGAGTTTTGCTGCTGGAAAGAAGAAGGATTTTGTCTGCTCGGGGCTGACAGTGATGGATGGAGAGGCTCCAGCTCCAGCATCCATCTCCATTCCCTGCTCTGGTGGCACCTCAGGACGGGGCTGGGGACAGGTCCCTGACCCTGCTGCCGGGTCGGCGTCACCTGCTCCGGGATGTCTGAGTGCTCCCGGCTCAGGCTCCCCAAACACACGGAATTTAAGGAATTGTGCTTTCCAACCTGCTGTGAAATCCCATCCATCTTCCTTGGCAGCAGCAGCTTTTAGGGAAGAGCTGCTGCTCCGTGATCCGCGTTACGGATGGGGCGGAAAACTGACGGGTTAGGAGCGTTTACAGCCAAAAAAAAAAAAAACTCAGGGGAATTCTTAGGGATGATAAACACTTCCCATTATTCCCAGCTCCAGCACCCTTCCCTTGGCAGACACTCCCAAGGCATGAGGAGACACAAATGGGAGTCAGGAATTCGGGGATTGAGACAGTGCCAGGAGGAAAATCAGGCATTGGTTTGTGAGTTATGGTGCAGAGTTATGATTCCCTGAGTGGGGATCATTAAATTGGGATCCTTCTCCCAGGCTGATCAGCTGAGGGCTGCAAAATGGCAAGTGGATGTTAAAAAAAAATGGAAAAACCCATGTTGGGAACAGCAAAATTCCTACTGGGGTATTGTTTCCAGCAGTAAATTTAATCTCAGCATTGATGGGGGCAGCGGAAGCAAAATCTGGTCAGGAAAATATTGGATAAAGGGTGGAAGAACTTGGTAATGGGAAGTGCCAGGGGACGATGAAACCAACAGCTGATGCCACTGAGTCACTCCTCTGGATCCTTGGAAGTGTCCAAGGCCAGCCTGGATGGGGCTTGGAGTACCCTGGGATACTGGGAAATGTCCCTGGATGGGCTTTAAGATCTCTTCCCACCCAAAGAATTCCAGGTTTCTGTGATAAATGAGACATCCCAATCTCCACCTCAACCAGGAAAGCCAAAAAGTGGATATTTGGGGGGGAAAAAAGTCCCTAAAATCCCCTAAAATCAAAGATCACCTGGGTTCTTTAGGAGCCCTATCAAGCTCAGGTTCTCAACCACCACAGTCATGAATCCATCTCAGGATGAATCCAACAAATCCATCCCAGGATGAATCCAACAGATCCATCCCAGGATGAATCCAACAGATCCATCCCAGGATGAATCCAACAGATCCATCCCAGGATGAATCCAACAGACCCATCCCAGGATGAATCCAACAGATCCATCCCAGGATGAATCCAACAGACCCATCCCAGGATGAATCCAACAGACCCATCCCAGGATGAATCCAACAGACCCATCCCAGGATGAATCCAACAGATCCATCCCAGGATGAATCCAACAGATCCATCCCAGGATGAATCCCAACAAACCACCTCCCTCAGAGAGAAGAGGATCCTGTGCAGGGCTGTAAAGCTCTGCCTTACTTTAGTTCCAAAACCAGGATTAAAAAGAGCATTTTGTCTGCTCTGGGCTCTGGTTTTTAACCCTTTCACTGAGCAGGACAAGCAGCATCTTGAGGGCAACCAGAGAATTCCAGCCCTGACTCAGGTGGGCGCCTGAAGACCCAAAAGGAGCAGGTTTGGGAGCAGAGCCCTGGGGGTGGCACCACGATGTTCCTCCCTTGAGGACAAGGACGAGGACGAGGACGAGGACAAGGACAAGGACGAGGATGAGGACAAGGATGAGGATGAAGACAAGGACAAGGACAAGGACGAGGACGAGGACGAGGACGAGGACAAGGACGAGGACAAGGACAAGGACAAGGATGAAGACAAGGACAAGGACGAGGACAAGGATGAAGACAAGGACAAGGATGAAGACAAGGACGAGGATGAAGACAAGGACGAGGATGAAGACAAGGACGAGGACGAGGACGAGGACAAGGATGAGGACAAGGACAAGGATGAAGACAAGGATAAGGACGAGGACAAGGATGAAGACAAGGAAAGGACAAGGACAAGGACAAGGACAAGGACAAGGACAAGGATTAGGACAAGGACGAGGATGAGGACGAGGACGAGGACGAGGACAAGGACAAGGATGAAGACAAGGACAAGGACGAGGACAAGGATGAAGACAAGGAAAGGACAAGGACACAGATGCAGACAAGGACAAGGACAAGGACGAGGACAAGGACAAGGACAAGGACAAGGTTTGGGCTCTTACGCTCGCACTCCTCCACGTCCAGGTTGAACTGGTGCAGGGCCCCCAGCGTCAGCTGCCTCACCTCGGCCTCCAGCAGCAGCTGCAGCAGCGATGTCGAGAGGTGCTTGCAGGCCGACATGCAGGCGGTCTGGGCCACCTTCCCCTGCGGGACAAACGGACACGGGTCAGTGACACCAGCACGGAGACACCGTCATGGAGAGCCACCAGCACGGAGCTTCTGCAGAGCAGCCCAGCCCCCCCCAGTAAAGCCACCAGCACAGCCAAAACCCCTCAGTAAAGCCACCAGAGAACTTCTCCAGCTCAGTTAAAACCACCAGAGAACTTCTCCAGCTCAGCCAAATGTCCTCAGTAAAGCCACCAGAGAACGTCTCCAGAGCAGCCAAACCTCAGTTAAAGGCACCGGAGAACTTCTCCAGAGCAGCCCAACCTCCTCAGTTAAAGCCACCAGAGAACTCCTCTGGAGGACCCAACCTCCTCAATTAAATCCACCAGAGAACACCAGAGCAGCCCAACTTCCTCAGTAAAGCCACCAGAGAACTTCTCCAGCTCAGTCAAAGCTCCTCAGTAAATCCACCAGAGAACTTCTCCAGAGCAGCCAAACCTCCTCAATTAAATCCACCAGAGAACTTCTCCAGAGCAACCAAACCTCCTCAATTAAATCCACCAGAGAACATCTCCAGAGCAGCCCAACCTCCTCAATTAAATCCACGAGAGAACTCCAGAGCAGCCCAACCTCCTCAATTAAATCCACCAGAGAACTTCTCCAGAGCAGCCAAGCGCTCCTCAGTTAAAGCCAGCAGAGAACTCCTCCGGAGCAGCCCAGTCCCCTCAGTTAAAGCCACTAGTGCAGAACTTCTCTAGACCAGCCCAAACTCCTCCGTTAAATTCAGCAGAAAACGTCTCCAGCCCAGGCAGCCTCATCAGCGTGTCCCATCTGTGATGGGATCTTCCCACAGCGCTCAAGGTCACAACCACCATCTCCCAAGGGAATCCCCTCTGGAAGTGCCCATGGCTGTGGGAAGGGTTAGGCCTTGTTGGGTGCAGCTGGAGAAGCTCCAGTCCAGGAGATCTTTGGGGTGCTCAGCGCTCAAAGTGTTCTTGTTGTGTCCTAACGCGGGCAAGACAACATCCTGTTAATTATCAGGGAATCATGGAATGTTTGGGTGGGAAGGGACCCTACAGCCCATCTCATTCCATGGCCAGGGACACCTCCCACTGTCCCAGGATGCTCCAAGCCCCTTCCAACCTGACCTTGGACATTCCCACCCACTCCCAACCTCACTCTCTCTACAGCAGGTGGGTCTGCAGCAGGGATTAAACCCATAAAAATGGGGCAATCCTTTGGGACAAGAGCAGGATTTTGCCCAAACCCTCAGGGAACAATCCCAATGCCTGTGTGTGCAACGCCACCAGGGAGGTTTTGGATCATGGTGCTGCCCTGAAAACAGCTCCAGCAGGAGATTATCTTCTCAAACACTCACAAAAGACTCTTAACACGCTTTCCTGACACCAAGGCGTGGCTTAGGAGCTCTCACCGACTCTCAGACGCGCTTTACAAGCTGTGTTTAAACTGGGATTAAACACGGCGTTTACGCCGCGTTTCCAGCTCGGCATCGCCGGTTTCGCTGTCGCGGCACGGCAACGTTTGATGCCTGTGCTGGGAAGGGTTTTCTCCCAGCTCTGCAAAGTTGGTTTGGATCTTCAGGCCATATCCATCTTCAGCAGGAGGGGAAAAAATGGGTTTTTCATTTAAAAAAGGAGCCGAGCCGTGCGTTGCAGGGCAGGGTGCTCCATCTCCGGCTCGCCGCCGCTCCCCGGCTCCGGAGTGTCCATCACTCACCTCCCAACAAACACCTGCACCAAAATGAAGACGAAGCACGGCAACCATAAAGTTTAGCAGAGCTCTGGGGTTTTTTCCTTGCTTTCCATCATTTGTTTGTGCTTTCCTGACATGCAGGGTTATTTAAAACCCCGCTCGTGCCAATTGCTCATCTCTGAAAGCTGCGGGAAGTGCGGCGCTGCCCGGTTGTGATTTTTCTTCATTACTTCCAACAGACACTCGAGTTTGTGCTGTGGCCGAGGAGTTTTGACAGAACCAGGGAATATCCTGAGTTGGGAGGGACCCACAGGATTGTGGATCCAAGCCCAGGCCCTGTGCAGACACCCCAACAATCCCACCCTGTCCATGCCAGCGTGTCCAAACGCTCCTGGAGCTCTGCCTGTTCCCTGGGGAGCCTGGGCAGTGCCAGCACCTCTGGATGAGGAACCTTCCCCTGAACTCCAGCCTGAGCCTGTCCTGGCCCAGTTCCAGACCTTCCCCAGGTCCTGTCCTGGTCACAGCTGCCCCTCGCGAGGAGAAAATCCCGAAGAGTCTCCCCTGAGCCTCCTCTGCCCCAGCTGGACATTCCAAGTGCCCTCAACGCCTCCATGTGTCATTGGGATGTCCCAGATGGAAGCAGACCATGGGAAATCAAAGCTCTGCAGCCAAGCCCTGGGACCCTGCTGAGGACAGGGGAGGGGGTTCCTGATCCTTCCTGGAAGAGCAGGAGAAAATCCCTGGAGTAGCTCATGCTCCACATCAGCGGGAATTTACATCCCTCGGAGAAACCTTGGAGGTTCCCACTCCCAGGTGAACCATGGAATGGGTTGGATCTCAAATCCCATCCTATTCCACCCCATCCACGGCAGGGGCACCTCCCACTATCCCAGGTGGATCCAGCCCCAGTGTCCAACCTGGCCTTGGAACTGCCAGGGATCCAGGGCAGCCACAGCAAATCTGGGAATTGCAGCCCAGACAGGAATTCCTTGCCAAGATCCCAGCCCAAGCTCCCCTTTCCCAGTGGGAGCCATTCCCTGGCTCCTGTCCCTCTGTCCCTTGTCCCCAGTCCCTCTCCAGCTCTCCTGGAGCCCCTCCAGGGACTCTGAGCATTCCCTGGAATTTTCCCTTCTCCAGGGGAACACCCTCAAGATGAACTCCATGAGCTTCTCCTGTGCTCACCTCTTCAGGTCCCACTGGATGCCCTCCTTTCCCACACCACACAAAGGGAAAACCCCAGGAAGGTTTTTCTGTCCCTGCTGACCAACATTTCACAGGAACAGCCCCGTTACACCCCAAACAGGGATCAGATCAACCTGCGGAGGCACCTGAAGGGTGACCCACACCTGGTCAGGAGAGTGAATGAGAAGTTACACCATGAGCAAGTGAAAACCAGCAAGCAATTGAGATGAAATGTCAAATAATTAAGTCTAAAATGGGGAAAATGGGATGGGAAAATCAATTTCATCATCAGGGCTCGGCAGCACCAAAATGCTGAGAGGCTTCCCTGAGTGGAAAGGGCAATTCAGGATGTTCCTTATGGGAATGTTACCTCAGGACTTGTTGCAGAGATGGCAAAGGAGATCCAAAAGAGCCCAGAAGCAGCTTCTGGCTCAGCCTTCCCTCCTTCTGCCTTTTCCACACAGGATTAGGCCAGGCCTAAAACTGTTTCAGGTGCAAATGTTCCCTGTCCTCACTCTGAACCTGAATCCTCTCTGGCCAGCTGAGAACACGACCTTTAATTTCCATTATTCTTGAGGGTTTAAACACCTAAAAATCTTTTCTTTAAAAAACACTCAATTTTCCCTCTCACAGAACACATGGATGCCTCACAGTTTAGAAAGCAAAAATATATGGAATTATTTTTTTTCTGTTTTTTAAGCCTGAATCCTTTTTCCCTCCTTATATTTATTATCAGAGAACTCTGAGATGCCACGGGGGTTTCAATCACGGTGTTAAATGTCTGCTCAGAGAACACAAGGTACCACCAGGGATGAGCAGCAGCTCCTGCCCTGGGCACTGAGATTTAAAACCCTCCCAGAATTTATGGGTTTCACTCCTTATAAATAAGACCCAACTTAATCCTTTCCTGCCTCAACCCTGCGCTCCGCGAGTTACAGCAGCTCCTTATAAAGTCAGCCGCGGCTTGTGAACATCAATTTCAGGCCATTTCCCCGGGAATACAGCGGGAAATCTGCTGGATAAGCAGCTGCTGCTGACAGGAGACAAACGAGCGCGCGGCCGCTGATATATCAGCACTAATAAGCTGCTGCTGCAGCTGAAGGTTGTTTGTATTCCCGCTCGGAATGGCTGGGGCTGGCAGGAATCGAGCACATCCTCCTGCCACAGATGCCCACCTCGGCTCTGCGGAGCTTATTTACGGCAGAGCTTCGCTTCACGGCGTTTTTGTTTTGTTTTTCTTTTTTTTTCTTGGTTCTTTTTTTGAATTTTCCTGCAGCGCTGGAAGAGCCGGACTCGCCTCGCCCGGAACGCACGGAGCCGAGTCTGGCAGGGACGTGTTCGCCACAGCCCCAACCCTCCCGAAATTGTTATCCACCCTAATCCTCCCAAAATTGTTATCCACCCCAATCCTCCCAAAATCGTTACCCACCCCAACCCTCCTGAAATGGTTACCCTCCCAAAATTGTTACCCACCCCAACCCTCCGAAAATCGTTATCCTCCCAAAATTGTTGTGCACCCCAACCCTCCTGAAATGGTTATCCACCCCAACCCTCCCAAAATCATTACCTACCCCAACCCTCCCAAAATGCTCACCCTCCCCAAGCCTCCCGAAATGGTTACCCTCCCAAAATCATTACCCACCCCAACCCTCCCAAAATTGTTACCCACCCCAACCCTCCCAAAATCATTACCCACCCCAACCCTCCCAAAATCATTACCCACCCCAACCGTCCCGAAATCGTGCCCCGCCCTGCCCTCGGGATGGTGCTGGGACTTGTGCCTTGGCAGGAACGGGAAGCTCCGAGGTGTCACCGCGGTGGGGAGCGCTGCTCAGAGGAGCCGCCGCGCTCAGCCGGGACGGCTCCAGCCCCATGTTAATTCCCTGATGATTTTTGGGAGTGTGGCAGAAGCGAGGGCACTCCCAAAGGCTGTTCCTGTGCCAGCACCCCGAGCAATCGCCGGGGATATCCCGGTCCTGCTCCCCAGAGCGGCTCCAGCCCAGCTCTGGCCCTGTCTGGGTTTCAGGAACAACTTCTCCATGGGAACACCCTCAAGATGAACTCCATGAACTTCTCCCGTGCTCACCTCTCCAGCCCACCCAAGTCCCACTGGATGCTCTCCTTTCCCACACTACACAAAGGAA